ACCATCGAACTTCCATTCAGCCAGAGGAAAGAGGTCAAGGTCCCAGAGGAGGTACAGGAGAGACTGACAGAGCTGTTGAACTCAACCAAGTCTGTGCTGTCTAAAGTCACCTCAATGTTGGCAACACGTTCTGTGGGTGAAAAATATTGTTGTTGTTTTATTACTTGCTGCCAACATAAGTAAAGGGCTCCCTTGTGAAAGAGATGTCAATCTCAATGGGACTCACCTGGTTAAATAAAATAAAGACACCTTGTTCATGTGAATGTTAACACTGGGAGTAAATCCCATTTTATTTATATGATGATGAGTAACGTTGGCTTCACATTCAAGGCTTGTATTTCAGCTGGACATATTTGTGGACTTGAGACTTGGTTGCCTTGAAACTGAGACAATTTTGGCCCAATAAATGACACTGCAACGAAACAAATAGTGGGACTCATTGCTTGTTAGAGTCATAACTGAATTATTAGAATGTATGAATAGTTTTTCCAGTATGGTGTCTGTTTACATGAAGACAATACTTGTGTTGCTGCAGCCACCTGACCAACAGAATACTTTATTTATGTTGTAGCTCCCAACTTTTTATTCACGAATGATCAAACAGTTGTTGTTTTTAATACTTTTATTCTAAAATAAATATCAGAGCTAAAATTGCAGCCTGATATTTTGACTGAATGGAAACTTTATGACCATCACTGTAAATAGTGTGAGATGCAGGTAGGAATATATCAAACTAAATTTGCATTAAGATTTTTGCTTTTCTAAAAAAAAATTATTTGCCCAGAAATGAAAAAAAGTCTCAATTTTCACTTCAGAAAGGGACTTTGTATGTCCTCAAACTTTTTTCTTTTATTTTTTTGAGGCACCTTGGAGATCTCTGTTTGAGCAAAAATGGCAGATGTATGTTGGGTCGATGAAGTCAGTTTTCCACAAATACTTATTGCAATTGTTTTTTTATCTGATGAGTATCATGAATAAAAGCCTAAATCACATCTTTCTAAACTGTATTTCTTTAAACAAAAGCTTTGTTCACACTTACCCATTACAGATATGGCTGCAGGCTGAGATGTTTGATATCTCAGCGTTTTGTCATTGAAGGTCTGACAGCTGTAGTTTCCAGCCTGGTTCATCTGAATGTTTGTCAAGCTGAGCTCTCGTTCTGTGTGATCCAGCTTGTCTCCATCCAGAAACCACATAAACTGGGCAGAAGGTCGAGACTCAGCTGAGCAGACCAGGCGGATGTTTGACCCGACTGCAAAGTTTTCTTCTTGTGGTGAGAGCATCAAGTTGGTATTTTCTGGACCAACTGGAGGAAACAACACAAAGAAGTAATGTTAGTAGATGGAAAAACCAAACATACAGTCATGTGCAATTGTAAAAGTCAGCAACTGATTTGGGTGATGTAGTTTCTGATGGTGTTGTGTTTTTAAAAAAATAATTGAGCTCTGTGAATAATCTAAACTATCTCTGATGTTTGCATGCAGATGTCAGACACTGAACAGGTAGATCAATAACTCACAGCTGACAGAGATGGGTACAGGCTCACTGGTGGCATCACTGACAGGATTGGACGCTCGACACCTGAGCTGTTGCTCATCAAAGCGAGTCACGTTGACTATCGTCATCACGGATCCTCCATCAGTGAGCTGAACTCTGTCACTGGCTGTAACCTCAGAGGTGTCGTTCAGCCAGAGGAAAGAGGTGGGGGATCCAAAGGAGGTGCAGGACAGACTGACAGAATCATTGAATTCAACCAAGTCTGCACTTTTGGGATCTACTGTTACATTGGAGACTGGCTCTGTGGGTGAAAAACAAAATGGTTTTACACT